TGGAAAGGGAATTCCTTCTTTTTTCAGTGGCTTCTCTAGGAATCATGACGTGCTTGGGTAGACGTTACGCCTCTCTTTGTATCTTGTCAAAATCAGGATTCAGAGTGTCTTGGTTTAGGGACCTATTTTTATAGGGCAACATCCCAGGTTGAAATATTCAACATCCGTAAGAGTTTTTTTAAAGACTGGTAGTAACCAGTGAATGCAGATGATACCTAAAAATATTTTTTTTATTGGTGGCCCCAAACTATCTCTTATATTTAGAAGCTTGGGTCTAGGGTTACATATCAAGATACACGCATAAGACTGTTTTGCTGAATGCAGCTGTCCCGATGTAGGCCAAAGATAATTTGCTGACCCAGGAGCTGAAGCCAGCGATTTTATGTCTGCATCTGCTTCTGCCCATAATTTGTGAGCAAAGACAGGGCAACTTCAAGAGCTACCACCTTAGCAGTGCCTGGAGCAGTGGGGCAGGGACTGAGGGTCTCCCAGGGGCCTCTCAGGAGAATTCAGGACTCCCCCTGCAAAGAGCTGCTTAACCCCGTGCACACCGATTCCTTCTGTGTCTCTGAGCTGCTCCATCCCCTGCATCAGAGGTTTTTCTCTATCATGTTGGACTCTCCAGTTTCTATGGCTGCACAGGCGCACTGTAAATATGGGTGGATGAGGGCATGAATCAGAGTGACACCAGAATGGAGAAAGGGTTATTCGATTTTTCTAAATGTATTTTCATTTTTGTGTAGAATTACTGGGGTTTAGACCAGAGGTGCGGGGGTGGGTGGGGGGACAAGAAGATTCACCAGAGACAGAGTGGGGAGCAGAACAGGCGGATCCACTGAAATACACTGCTGAGGGGAGCAGCGGGCGAGACAGGAGAGGTCTGCTGCGCCACGTGGGTCAGCTCCCTGGCCGGAGATCGAACACCAACTCCCTGGTGGTAGTGGTGATACCAGTGAGACTTGCTACTGGGGAGGCCCAATTCGATTGTTGTCCTGCATGTGGCAGGCACAGTAAGAAGCAGCAGGCTTCACATGGGTGGGTTTTATTTTTTTCTACTCAACAGCTGTCTCTCCTTCAGGGAAAAGCACTTTGGTTTTCCTTTGGGAAAATCCATCACTAAAGTTTGGGTGGAGCTGAGCTCACCCTCAGTTCTGTTAGGGGGTGGCCTCCGGGGAGGAAACTAAAATGGCGTCTCCTCCCCACACTAGAAGCCGCACCCATTTTGGCAGAAAGGATCACCCTGAGGCAGGACAGTTTCCTCTTCGCCAGTTGCCGATGGGTGGCTTGAATGAACAGGGGTGACCTGCTGGGTACTTTTGGTCGCACCATCCTTTTAGTACTGGGGACCTCCTAAATTGGAGGAGCTCTGTTCCCCCAGACTGGCAGGCTCCTAAGAGGATGGCGAACTTGTTTGCCTCCATCTTCGTCTCCCACCGCCCTAACTGGGCAGATACCCAGTCCATGTTACATACTTTCAGGTCTAGATGAGCGGAGGATGGTAGTGAGGAAAGCCAGGACTGGAGGACTTTTGCTTTCCACAATTAACAATACCTGGAGGGACTGGTTTTCTTTCACACGAGGACCCGGTAAAAATGTTCATCTGAGACTGCATCCCAACATCCATATATCCCATCTTCATCACCGTGGAAATGGTGGCAAAAAGTGAAAGGGGGGAATTGTTAGGGGGAACAGGATGTCCTAAAGCTAATTCCATACAGCCTTTGTGGACTCCACCCCCACCCCAGGCCAAAGCCAAAGACACTGGGAACCCCAAATCCCATCCCCACCAAAGGGAAGGTGGCTGGGACCTGAGGGTGGGGTTCAGCAGCCAGGTTGGTATAAAGCCAGACACGTGGGCTTTGGAGGGGTCCCCCATTTTGGCTCTCCACCAGCTCGCAGCATCCGGCCAGCTCTGAGAGTGCCTTTGGGTTTCCAGGTCGGCGGATCGGGTAGGACGCATTAAAGACTTTATTTCCCTATTTTCTCCCTGAGTTGTACATTTTCCTTATTTCCTTTTCCCTTGTAAATAAACCTTTTATGAACCTTTCGTGTGTGCCTGCAGTGGAGTATTAGTAAGTCCCTTGTAAGCGCGCGGGTGAGGACCCACAGCCAGGCACCCCGTTTCATATCGGGGCTGCTCCGTAACAGTTCCACTAGCTAAACGGTGACCCAGGCCTGGCCAAAAATGGCACCCCGCACCCCGGGCCACAGCCTCAGTTCGTGCTGCCAGCCTGGCCATGCCTGTTTGAGGCTGCCCTCCATGCTGCCGGGTGGGCTCTGCTTTCTCATCAGCTGTGCGTTATTTTGAATTGAATCTTCACCCCCCCCCACTTCCGGTAGTATTAGGGAAGAGGCACTTTCCAAGAGTTTTGCTGTGCTGGTTTGAAGAAGCCTGTAGCTGCTGGCAGCCATCTCGACTAAGAAACTACAATGAACTCGGGAAGTAGAAGCTGAGACATAGATGGGGACGCAGTTCATGAACAGGGAACCACACCCAGCCACGCCCGAAGCGCTCCCTGGAACTGCCAGGTACATGAGCCAGCCGGTTTTTGTCACTGGGTGCCGGGGCCAGTCCTTTTCCTGTGTTTTCCATAGGGGGTCCTGGGGGTCCTGGCGAAGACCGTGATCCCACTTACTCACAATCTCTGTCAGTTCCTGAGGGCCCAACAAAAATAAAAAACCCCTTTTGATCCCAGGGCTCTCAGTGACATTAGTGGGATCAACATGTTCCATGGCTTCTGGAGGGGACATTTCAGTGCTGACACCTCTCTAGCTCCACCCCGGCCTTCTCTATGGTCTTCCCTGCAGGCTGGATTTAGGCTGGGTTGTGAACCCCCCAGTAGCCCCCCAAACATCCACACAATTCATATTTAAAACCATTTTATTCTGCCTCTCAGCAACACTTCTCCTTTGACGTGGGTAAAAGTTCGGGGACCCAAATACAAACTGACAAAAACCAATATATCAGAACAGAAATCAGGATCCTGTACACCGGAATGATGCTTCACTCTCTTGTCTGTGAATCCGTGGCCCTGGTTCATTGTCCTCGTGGGCCCAGGGCTGGCTCGTCATGGACATCTGGGTGAAATGACCGTGGAATCTGGTGTCCATCACTGTTTATTTTCTGCTACAGTGGAGGATTCTTACAAATGCCCGAGATTCATCATCTAAGAGCACTGCTTCCGATTTTGTGTAGCACTTAGAATTTCGCCCCAGGCATTCACAGCTGTTGTGGAGATTGATTCTCAAGCAACAAGCAGAGCCAAGTAGGCAGCGATCTTCTATTTTCCAGATGAAGAAATTTGAGGCACAGAGAGTCTAAGAAAGTTGCCTGCACAGCTAATTAGTAGCAGAAAAGAAAAGGCCGTGGATTTCAGGTATTTTGTTCTACTCTCAGCCTCTCGTTCCTTCCATTAGAACAGGTTTTCACTTAGAGAAGTTCTTTGTCAGTGTTACTAATATTAGTTTTTGTAGTTATCATTTGTTGGATCTAGCTGTCATCTGTGTTAAGCAAGAAAACTTGACAGTTTTCTCAGAGTCTGGTTCACTTAAGTAAATTTATTTGAACAGAAATGGTACATCACACCCATCAATGGAAAGCCATCAAGGAAAGGTCATTAATAAAATAAACACAATGACAACAAAATCATGTTATTAAGGTAGACAGAAGACTTGGAAGCTGAGCCCTGCTCTTTCTTTGCTAAAAAAGGACAGAAAAAAGCCATAGTATCAGGGTGGTGTCAAGGACCCACCACCACGAAGCAGAGACTTTTTTCCTGCTATCATCAGGATTGAAAAAGAACAGAAAAAGGGAAATGTATTTTGTGATTCAGTGTCACTTACTGGGTCTGGAAATAACATGAAATGATGGCTGAGCCGCCAGGTGCGACTTATCGCCCGGGAATCGCTGGCTGAGTGTGTCCTGGCAGGCAGAATAATGGCGTCATTAAATCAGTATATTTACACCTAAAAGATTTACATTCAACCAAAAGAAACATGGGGGTGGCATCCAGGAAAAGTCAAAGATCTTGCCTGAAGCTTGCTAAAAGAGTGTGTGTGTGTGTGTGTGTGTGTTTCAGAAAATCACGTTCCATAAACATAGCCAGGTTATTCCCAAAACTGGGATAGAGGAGCTGTTCATGTACCTAGAATTGACCACTAAGTACATTCTCAGAGTCTGTTGGTGTGAAAAGAGAGGTGGAGGTCAAGTTGATTGATGGTGGATGCAAGCAAGGGAGGGGGGCCTTTAAGAAAAGTGAGACAGATACAAAGTCAGCAAGTTCCTTCCTTTGTGTCTTGGATGATGAAGCCCTGGGATGAGGAGCAGCTGATGGGAGAGGAGCATCTAATGGGGGAGTTTCTGATGGGGAGGAGCTGCTACTGGGGAGGAGCAGCTGTTGGGGGAGGAGCAACTGGTGGGGAGGAGCCACTGATGGGGAAGGAGCAGTTGATGGGGAGGAGCAGCTGATAGGGAGGAGCAGCTGATGGAGGAACAGCTGATGGGGAGGAGCTACTGAGCACTGGAGTGAAGTCACAACATGTAAAGATCATAGGAAAAAGAATGCACAAGTTTAACTCCCTTAGGCAACTTTAAACATGCTGCAAATGTTTGTGCTCAGCATTGCAAACCAGCATCCATGGCTCTTCTCAGAAATTTCCTCTAGCCCCAAACCTGGAGGCCCCCACCTCCATTTAGAGTATTGCCAATTCCTGAGGCTGGTCTTTGGAGAAGAATGGACACAAAGGCCTTTCTAAACTGAGACTTGATCTGTTTTTCTTTTTAAAAAAATCAATGACTCTGGCTGCCCTGGCTGGCGGCTCTGGCTGTGCTACTCGACTTTCCTTAATTTTTTTTCCTTTTTTTTTTTTTTTTTTCCCAGTTCATTTGCCAGGGACCTGCCTCTGGACAGTCCTGGAGGAAAAGGTCTCACAGTCTGAAGTCAAGGATCCAATCCTCAGAAACTCCTTTGGGGTGTGAGTAGATGAGGTCCAGCCCCGTGCTTGTGGCCTTGCTGGCTCCTCAGGAACTGTGTGATACAAACAGAAAGAGTGAGAAAGAGGGAAAGATGGGGGCCCTCAGCCTTCCCCACTAGAGAGTGTCCTTCAGCATCTGTCACTGATTGAACAGGTGCTGAAATGGCCTAGCAGATCAGCATACATTTTTAAAAAAAGATTTATTTTTATTTATTTATGCATAGAAATAATGGGGTGTAGGCCAGAGGTGTTGGGTTGTGTGTGAGAGGATTCACCAGAAACAGAGTGGGGAGCAGAACATGCAGATCTACTGAAATACACTGCTGAGGGGAGCAGCAGGCAAGACAGGAGAGGTCTGCTGCGCCGTGTGGGCTAGATTCCTGGCCAGGGATTGAATTCATTGAACTCATGCTGCAGTGGCTGGGGACAGCGTGATAGCATGAGAGTTTAACCCAACCCCTGTGCCACCAGGGAGGCCCAGATCTGTACATTTTTGAGGCTAAGCACTGGCTTCTTTTGCAGAAAGGAACATTTTATTTCAAAATACATTTTATTTTACATGTGTCACATGTGAAAAAACTCCCAAGTGATAGAGAGGCAGCAAAATGTCTTGCAGCATTTCTGAATCTCATTCTCCTTCCTGAGGGTTAATAGCTCTGTTAGCATGAGGCACGCATCCTCCAGGCATTTTTCTCTGTGTTTAAATCTATAAATATACATTTAGAGATTCATCTTAGGTGTGCATATGTGTTTACATCATGGGATCGTGCTATATATATGTGTGTGTGTATGTAGATATATGAAATATGTAATATTCTTACTGACTTATTATTTCCCTTTATCCAATAAATATTTTAATGATAGATACATTTAAGTATATCTAGGTGCTGGCGAAAATAATCATTCCTATCAGTTGGTGAAAAGAGGCACCTGCATAGTCACAGGTGGGCAGAGGGAGGGCTGCGTGTCCCTAGTAAATGTTGATGGTGTTCTCTGCTATGAATGAGCCACTGCACTTGCAACCATTTTCCCATGATGCATTTAGGTTGTTTCAAGGTTTCCTGTTTCAGATGGAACTGCAGTGAGCACCCTTGGTTCTCAGCCCTGGCTGTATGTTAGAATCATCTGGAGTCCTAAATAAATCCTACCAACCATGGAGATTCTAATTTAACTGTCTGGGATGGGCCCTGAACATTGTTTTTTTTTTTTTTTTTTCCTTGAGAAGAGTCTATGGAGCTAGGGAGAGCTTCTTTTTTGTGCTCCTGTATCTAGGGTGGAAATTGAGAAGTGGAATTACACACAGGTTTGAATGTTTAATGGATATATCCAAATTGACCTTCCAAAGACTGTCTCAATTTACTCTTCTGCAACAGTGTAGTTTTCAATTCTTCACATTCTCATCAACCATAATACTGTTTGTCTTTTAAATTTTTCAATCTGACAGACAAAAAAAATCTTGTATTTCATTGTTGCTTTAATTTGCATTTCCCTAGTTACCTTGGAGGTTGAACATCCCTTTAAGGTTTTGATTTCCTCAATGTCCAACCAGCTCTTATATCCTTTTCAAAGTCAAAATCGTTCCATTGTTGATGATGACTTAGGTCTAACTTGTCTTTACTTCAACTGAACCAATGAACCAACAAAGAAAGATCCTTAAGATCTTCTGGTAAAATTCCCCATTTTTCATCATGGAATCACAAAAAGTTCTCTGAAGATACATCTGTGTGGAACTTTCTTTTTTTTTTTTACATTCAAGAAATATTTTTATTTATTTATTTTTTATATTTTATTTTATTTTATTTTTTTAATAATAAATTTTATTTTTATATTCCCCATACAGTTGCAACCCCCCTTTCTGATCCCAATCCCTCCCCTCCCGCCCCCCACCCCCCCAAAAGTGTCTCTGTTTCATAGTTTTTTGTTGATTCTGATTTTCACTTTCTTATAGTTATTCATTTTCCTGGTCCCTTATTTAAGTTTTCTAGATTCCTGCTATGAGTGAGACCATCCGGTATTTTTCTTTTTGGCTTATTTCACTGAGCATGATCCCTTCCAGCACCATCCATGTTGCTGCAAATTGCATGTGTTTATCTTTTTTGAATGCTGAGTAATATTCCATGGTGTATATGTACCACATCTTCTTGATCCAGTCATTTATTTTTGGGCATTTGGGCTGTTTCCAAAGCTTAGCTATTGTAAATAGTGCTGCTATAAACATAGGGGTGCAGGTGTTCTTTGGAATTGATGTTTCTGTGTCCTTTGGGTAGATACCTAGGAGTGGAATTGCTGGATCATATGGAAGCTCTATGTTTAGTAGCTGTGTGGAACTTTCTCTAGAAACCTTTGTGTGTGTGTGTGTGTGTGTGTGTGTGTGTGTGTATGTAGAAAACTGGGGTGTAGGCCAGAGGTACGGGGGTAAGGGGGTGATGGTGGTGAGAGGATTCACCAGAGACAGTGGGGAGCAGAACAGGCAGGTTAGCTCCCTGGCTGGGCCTTGAATTCATGCTGCAGAGGTGATAGAACTGAAACTTAACCCCTAGGCCACCAGGGAGGTGGAATCTTTACGCAAACAATAATACAAGGAAGAAGGTGGATTTGGTCTTCATGTTCTTGCAAGAAGCCCAGCTTACTTTTTGCCCACTCGCTTACTTCTAATCCTAAGGCACCGCCAGTAGGGCGCCCTCTTGTGGAGGGCCCCAAGATGAATGTGGATGATACTCAATGTTCTTGTTCTGTCCTGACTTAGAGGAAATATTCCAAGAAAGTGAACTACCTGGGATCCCAATCATTTCTGGGGGAAGAGATTGGTTACATTTTGCTTGATAAAATAAAGAGGAAGGCCCACTGGATGCCTTTCGTTTGTGGTCGATAACACTTGCCTTCCTCACACCCAAGCTTCATCACGGTCAGCTGGTGCTGCTGCTAAAGAAGTTGCACTGAAGTCCATGAAACATCAGCTATGTGACCACGAGCTTGAGTGTGAGGGGAGGAGGAAGAGAAAATGTGGGAGGTGTGCAAACTTTCTAGGGTGTGTGTGTGTGTGTGTGTGTGTGTGTACATGTATAGCAACAGCTAAAGCTTCTACTTAGTGCTGTAAAAAAGAATTTTTTTCTTGTGGCATATATCCTACAGGCAAGAATGGTCTCTATCAAATGCAAAGTCTTAAACAATGACTCTATAACTTCAGAACACTTAGAACCATTTTTTTTTGGGAGGTGAGGTGAGGGAGCTTGTCAAAATGCATATTTCAGGGCCACTTGGGTTCTGTACGGGGCCCAGGAATCTGAATTTTTACAAATATCCCAGCAGAATCTGTCCCAGGTGGCTCTGAGACCCAGTTGCATAAACTAACATTGCTTGAATCCTCAAGACACCCGCAGAAAGTAAGGGCGTGCAGACGTGTTGCTTTAGGTGGGGGACTTGGAGAATTAGGATTGATAAGAAGACTACTGCAGTATTTTAATATTCGCCCCTATGTAATTCATTTCTCCCTTTCTCAAGCAAACTGGGAGCAGACAATTAAGGCAATTCTGACTTAAGATACTACAAGTTTCTGATGCTGTTCTGACCAGAACTTTTCTGTTAGCACAGCATTCTACCTAAAACTTGAATATTCTACTTCCAACAATTCCTAAGTCTTATGGATTCAATGTCACAAAATGCTTTCTTTTTATGCTCCAGTTACCACGCGGCTTACATAAACATCCCATAAAATTAGGATGAATGAGACCTTTTATGAATTTGGACAAAGATCCTCTTCACCTGAGTCTATTCCAAGAAAATGAACTGCCTGGGATTCCAGTCATGTGTGTGTGTGTGTGTGTGTGTGTGTGTGTAAGATATTGGTTACAGATTTTTTTTTTTTTTTTGCATGGACGAACTGGGGTGTAGGCCAGAGGTGTCAGGGGATGGGGGTATGTGAGAGAGGATTCATCAGAGACAGAGTGCAGAACCGAACAGGCAGATTTACTGAAATACACTGCAGAGGGGAGCAGCGGGCGAGACAGGAGAGGTCTGCTGCGCCATGTGGGTCAGCTCCCTGACCAGGGATCGAACTCAGGCCATCATGGTGATAGTGCTGAGACTTAACCAGGAGGCCCTGATTACAGTTTTCTTGATAAAATAAAGAATAATTTATTTTAAAAAGTGGGATTTCACAATACTTCAAAGGTAATAGATTTTTTTCACTTTTCTTTTTTGAATGAAACAGAAAGCTTCACGGTCCAGGCTTTGGTCTCATCTACAAGGCCTGGGCTCCTCTGAAGCCAGCCGCTCTGTGAAGTCCTCGCTGCCTTTCAGATAGTTACAAAAGAGCCTTCCTGTGGGTACATCTCCCAGGCAGTAACTTGACTCCCATCCTTGGCATTGAATTAGAACACACAAGGGTGACGAGTTTGCTGATGTCAATGAAAACTGACCACTCCGTTAGCAGATGGCTACCATTAGTATGTGACTCCTTTTGGATTGGGAGGGAGGAAATATGCCTATTTTTTTTGTAGATTGAAGCCTCACCACACCCCCACCAGATAAATAAATTCTGGAGTTAGCCACAAGGTGAATGCCATTCACTGACCTTTGCTGCTGGGTGTATAGAAGGGACATGTTGGCTTGGAGATAGTGTGGTTTTGTGGTCAAGAATAGTACCCAGGGCTTCCCTGGTGGCGCAAGGGGTTAAGCACAGGACTGTGAAGCTGTCCACAGCCTCTGCAGCATGAGTTCCACCCCCAGCCAGGGAGCTACCCACATGGTGCAGCAGACCTCTCCTCTCTCACCCGCTGCTCCCCTCAGCAGTGTATTTTAGTCAGTCTGCCTGTTCTGTTCCCCACTCTGTCTCTGGCGAATCCTCTCACTTCCCCCTTCCCCCACACCTCTGGCCTGTACCCCAGTTTTTGTACCATGAACTAGGTGTGAGATATCAGGCAAGTCATTCACTTCTCTGAATCCCAGTTTCCTCATCTGAATGGGGGTGGTGATATCAACTGCAGGGGGTTGCCGTGAGGAGTCAATGTAATTCCTGCAAGAGCTCAGACAGGGCCTGACATATGCGAAGTTTTATGTCCATGTCAGTTGCTATAATTATAACCCACTTCACTCAAAGATGGATCTGGGCAGTATGTCTTTTCATAATTCCCAGGAGTTAGGCCAAGACTTGGCTCTGTTCCCCTGGAACACCATCCTTTGGTTTGGCTCTTGAGTACAAAGTCTTGAACTCTGTTGGGCAGCATCTTAAATTCTGAGGGCCTCTCTCAGCCATGCTGGCATTAGTAATATTAGGATTAATGAATACTTTGCATTTTTTGTGTGTGCACAAACTAGGAAACAGGCACCAAATTATACATGTTCTGTGGGTCATCTAAGTCACTTCCACAATAGCTTTGTTAAACAGATGCTGTTAGAGGGGCCTCCCTGGTGGCACAAGGGGTTAAGCACTGCACTATGAAGCAATCTGAAGCCTCTGCAGCACAAGTTCGATCCCCGGCCCACCAGGGAGCAACACACATGGCGAAGCAGACCTCTCCTGTCTTGCCTGCTGCTCCCCTCAGCAGTGTATTTCAGTAAATCTACTTGTTCTGTTCCCCACTCTGTCTCTGGTGAATCCTCAACCCCCCAGACCTCTGGCCTGTACCCCAGCTCTTATATGCATAAATAAATAAATCTTTTTAAAAAACCAGATACTGTTAGAACCTCATTTATAGTGGAAGAGATTGAGGTTGAGGGAGGTTAAGCAGTGTCTCAGTTGGGTAAGTGGTAATGCGGGGACCTGAGCCTAGAAGTCTGGGGCCATCTCTACATCTTTAACCCCACATACACCACAACACACACACACACACACACACACACACGTCTTCTTTAGAGAGTTAGGTGTGTTAGCATCTCTTCCGGCCTTCTTTCCCTTCATAGGCCATCACCATCAAATTGTCATCTAGGCAAGATGCGTAGAGTTTCCTTTGATATTTTAGTGACCTTTTCTCCTCTCCTTGGCCAGAGCCATCTATTTCTTCCCTTTGTGACACTTCCTGTTTTGATCCCCTGCCATCCAACTGCTCCTGGATCTGACTTGCCTGATACAGGAAGTTGATCTACTGTGACATCCACCTCTTGGTGCCAAGGTTGACTTGGCTGATCTGGCCGGCTAAAGGGTGTCCCCTTATTCCCTCACCCATCTGAAGAGCCCTTCCTGAAACCAAGCCAAAGAAGCTTACACTCAGCTGGAGGGAAATGGTGTAGGAGGAGAAACCACGCTGTTCTGGAGAAGTGTTACAGGATGTCTCCAAGGTCTTATCTGTCTCAGCAGGAGCTACGCAGTGAGACTGAGGTGGTGCTGGGGTTGTCATTTCCTGGTCTTGATTGCCCATCAGTATACCACCTCCCTGGCTGTCAAACCTCTGATAGAAAGTGTGATTGTTTCAAGCAGATGGAGCCCATCTCAGCCAGTTAGAGAAACCAGAATAAATTTGTCCAAACTCAGAGAGAAATATCAACAGCACACATCTCCTTATGAGATGAGAGCTCGCTGGCAATGCCAAAGACATGTGATGACCGTTCTGCTCCTTAACTGAGAACATTTTGGATGGTTGGATGCAAATCCTGTAGGAAATCATTTAGCCGATCATATGTTAAGCCAGAGCAAGTAATAATCTAAATATCCTGTTTACTCTCCCACACTTCCTATTATGTGGAACCATGGGGAAGGCTGTTTCCAATAATTATGGGTCTAAATGACATTTGTCGCCCCTAGCTTGGGGGCAGTGAGACTCTGTTGTCCTTCTCTCCCCTTGCCTTAGCTGAAGAGGCCTGCTGTTATAGGGGTTGGAAAACAGTCATGGGCCAGCTACCTGTTTTTGTAAATAAAGTTTTACTAAAGACAGACATGCCCATTTATTTACATAAAATATATGGTTACTTTTGGGCTAAAATGGTAGGGTTAAGTAGTTGCCTCTGAAATGGTATTAGAGGCCTGAAAATATTTGCTATCTGACTCTACAGAAAAAGCTTGCTGACTCCTGTTCTAGATAGAGCAGCTACAAAAGGGTGGAGCTTTGGATTGCCTGGGACCCTGAATGACTGCATGGAGTAGAGCCCCTCCACAAACCCACATGGTTCATGTAACAATAGTAAAGAGAAAAATCAAAACTCTTTTATTTGGGATTGTTTGTTACCAGAGCATAACCTAACAGAGTCCAATGGGCATTCAAGAAAAGACATTTTATATCAGGAGAGATTTAAAAAGCCTACTTACCTCCTTGCGAAGTGAACAGCACAAGAAATACCGATGATGAAAAGACCAATAATGATGGAGGCAATGGCTACCCACTTGGCGTTCCTTCCAAGTCGCCTGGATCCTTCAATGTCTCCATCGTTGTAGCTGTTCAGAGACTAGGGGGCACAACACAAGAGCTGATGATGATGGGCAACACACAAGGAAAGACATGTGCTTCTCAGGATGATCTGAGCAGGCCATATGGTTACCACCTCCTCCAGGAAGTCTTCCCTGGATTCCCAGGGTGATTAACTTCCCCTTCTGTGTTTTCTCATTATTTTCATCTTAGTATTCACCAGAGCATATTAAAATGATTGATTTTGTCTCTCATTAGTATGTAAGTGCTATCATGTTAATCATGCTATACCAGTACCCAGTGTCATATTTGTCATGTGGAAGATGCTTGATAGATATTTGTATAATGAAAATATGAACGGGTAGATCTGTCTTGTCCACCAGAACAGCAATTCACAAACTATGGCCTGTGGGCCAAATCCAGCCTGCTGTTTTTGTAAATAAGATTTGTTTGCAACACAGTCACACTCTATTGTCAGTGACTGCCTTTGTGCCACAACAAAAGATTTGGATAGTTGGGGCAGAGACATGTCCTGCAAGGTCTGAAATATTTACTATTTGGTCCATTATAGAAAAAAAAAAAAAGCCCATTCCTGCACTAGAAGTTCTACCCACGAGGTCAGGGATATTGAATCAACTGTTCACCTCTATGCCCAAGTCAACCTGTTATTCAACTGGTAGCTACTCATGTGGTTGTGCCAGATGCCAAAATATGGAAATACTTCTGTACTTGCTGGTAAATATCAGCAATCCTTCCCCATTGTCCCGGTCATCCTGCCCTCCTCTGAATTTCCTCAGATTTCCCTGTGGTCCAGCAACTTAAGGGTTATTATGAGAGCAAGCATCCTTTCTGATTCTGTGCCCAGATCAAGCTCATTAAATATTTTAAATATTGCCCTTGCTGCTGGTAGTTTGAGCAGTGCTTGGTACATTGTGGAGACTCAAGAAATGTGTATTGCATCAATGGGTGAATGAATGTGTCTGTTTCCCTCCAGAATGGGAGTTCATTGAGGTCCCTCCTCACCCCAACCTAACCCAGTGCTCAGAGAGGGTTTGCTGCTGAGTTGAAGGTCAGGCCAGCTGAGCTATCTTATAGTAAACCTTCTGTATCATAATTCCCATTGCTGAGAAGCCTCTCAAAGGGAATGGATTCTTCACTACAGCTCAAAGACTGGAACGGCATATTCAAGAGCTATGGGCAGAAGAACACCACTGATATGGTGAATTGTACTTTTCAGTGGGAACCCCTATGTCTGATCCTGAAATCACAGCATTTGAGTAATATTCAGTTCTCTTCTTGAACTATTCAGGAGAGATGGTGTTTGGCATATGCAGACAATTATAAGCCAGAGAACCACCCAGTATACCACAGAGTTTTCTGCTTCTGGAACCTTCCATTAATTCTTGGAACTGGACCACCTTGTCAGCAGCATGCTGGGAGACTCAGCAATGAAGATTTGCTTTCAGGCCTCTTATGTGGATGGGAGAGCAGGAATGCTTGATGATGTCAGGGACTTCTAATAAGATGAGTTCCAGAATTCAAGTCCTGAATTCTGGGGTTCTCAGTCTTGGGTGCCTATTAGCAACAACTGGGTAGCTTTAAAAAAATGCAGATATCTGGTCCCTCACCTGGAGAAAGTTTGAGTTAACTGGTATGGACGTTAGGTACTAGGTTTTTTTTTTTTTTTTTAAATGAACAACTGTGGTTGGGGCCTCCCTGGTGGCCTAGGGGTTAAGCCTCAGCTTTATCTTTGTTATGGCCTGACTTCTATCCCTGGCAAGGGAGCTGACCCACATGGCACAGCAGACCTCTCCTGTCTCGCCTGCTGCTCCCCTCAGCAGTGTATCTCAGTTGATCCACCTGTTCTGTTCCCCATTCTGTCTCTGGTGAATCCTCTCACCCCCACCACACCTCTGCCTTACACCCCAGTTCTTCTACACACACACACACACACACACACACACAATAATAATTGTGGTAAAATATGCACAACATAAAACTTAAGATTTTAACTCTTTTTGAGGATAAAAATCAGTGGCATTAAGTACATTCACATTGTTGTGCAACCACCACACTATCCGTCATCCCAAACTAAAGCTCTATGTCCATTAAACATGACTCTCCAGTCCTCCCGCTAGCTCCTGGCAATCACCATTTAACTCTGTTTCTATAGAGTTGACCACTTTAAGTGGTACTGTACAATATTTGTCTTTTTGTGGCATGGTTTATCCATGTCATATCACGTATCAGAATTTCCTCTTAAAGGCTGTATAATATTCCACTGTATGTAGATGCCACATTTTTTTTCATCCATCATTTGTCAATAGACACTCGAGTTGTTGCCACAGTATGATTTTTTATTTTTTAAAAAAGATTTATTTATGCATACAAGAACTGGGGTACAAGCCAGAGTTTGTATCCTCCTGTACACTTGTGTTCTCTTTTTTTTAAAGAATCAAGGTCCAGTGACAGTCTCTGTGCCTGGCAGGTCCCAGTGAGCCAGTTGGTGGAGTCCAGAGAAATCAATTCACTGACTTCTCTGGCAAGAGAGGTGGCAGGGCTGAGAAGCAGTCTGGGGGGGCCTGGTCATTACTCCAGGGCCCACTGGAAGCAGGAGCCAGACCATTCAGGTATAAGTTAGCAGAGTTGACTTTTGTAGGAAGAAACACCTCCTAGGGGTATAGAAGGGAATTTTGGGGGGGGGGGTTACATAACAAGGAACAACAAGAACATGAGTTTAAATGGGGCTTATATTAATAATTCAACTGCTGTTTATTAATATAAGCTCCATTTAAACTCACGGGTCATTAATGCCTAGGGAAACATAAATAGATCCTGCTTCAGTGCTCAAATCAGCTTTGAGTAATTTTAGTTGGGAAGGCGGGTTGAAGTAAGAGTAAACCAAGAATTGGTGCTAAATATGACAGCATGTTGGCTTGAGATGAAATAGTCTGTTAAGATCTAGAACTAGATAACAGGTTGAGCTTTCTATTTTGTGGGATTCCTTCTTGGGAGAGTTAAATCCATTTTAAGTGGGTGACGTAGATATCACAGCATAGGTCCCTGGAACATAACAGGTCCATTCTACCCCAGGGCCTTTGCACTTCTGGTTCTGCCCAGGTTTCAGCATAGTTGGCTTGTTCTTACCTTTCAGCCTTTGCTGACCACCCTTTCTAAAGTAGACTCTCTTCTCTATCACCTGCCTCCCACTAGTTTTGTGTACCTCTGTTTATTTCTTTGAAGGGCTTATCACTCTGAAATGACCTGTGTAGGGTCCATCTCCCCACAGAGAGCTGGGACCTTGACTACTTCCTTTGACAAGCAGGTTGTCCTGGGATGCCATGGGGCACTGAAGAAGTCTGTTTGCTCAAATGGGGACAGAGTGGATCCCCTTGGCTATGGATCTGAAAACACAATCTCTAAAATGCTCATCTGTTTCCTGTGTCTTATCTCTACCCTGGTTCAGAATTCTCAGCAGGAGGAAGGGTGTTCACTTGCTGAGCCAACATGGAGGCTGCTCCCCGTCACAGAGAGCCAGCGAGCTGTCAGAGGCCCAGCTGTACGGAAGCTGCCATTTTATCTACAGGGTCACCACAGAGCCTGGCACGTATTAGGTGTTTAAGACTTGCTGAATGAATGAATGAGGGAATGTGGGAAAACTTCCCCTCTGTTTTCTACCCTTGAGAAAGTTTTCCAGGTGCTGAGGTGCCTTCCCTGAGGGGCACAATTGTACTTAAGTAATTTTGTGTTGCCTGACAACTCTCAACTGATTTTCCTCTTCCTTTTCAGAGTCGACAGCTCCTGAATCAGCACCCTACAGTGGCAGGGAGGCCAGGCATGCCCCTGTTGGAAGAGAAGGTTGGTGACCGGGCTTTGACCCTTGGGGTCCCTGTTCATTTGTTATACCCACTGGCTTGGACACAATAAAACACAGATGTGGGAATTTTGGGGGGCTCACAGGATGTTTGGTGTTCTCCATTTCCTTCTGTTGTGGAGACCTACCGAGGAGATAGCATCTAGGGAAAAGTTGATGAGCCATATGTCCTACAAAAGCATGAAGAACTTATCTCAGGAGGAAAGGGTATCCTCCATGGGGCTGAGAGATGGAACAAAAACATGGGCTTAACTATTGATGAAAGTATGGAGGTTCTAGCAAACCCACTTTGGGCATCTATATGAAGGAAATGAAAACAGGATATCCAAGAAATACCTGCACTCCTGTGTTTACTGCAGCATTATTCATGAAAGCCAAGACAGCAAAACAACCTAAGTGTCCAGCCATGGATGAAGGGAAAAGGAAGATGTAGATACACAATGGAATATTATTCAGCCATGACAAAGAAGGAAATCCTGCCATATGTGACAACATGGATGGACCTTGAGGACATTATGCTAAGTGAGATAAGCTAGACAGAGAAAGACAAATACTGGATAATCTCACTTCTACGTGACATCTAAGAAAATCAAACGTAAAAACAGAGAGTGCAGTGGATGAATAGAAGAGATAGTATTTAAGGATACAAACTTGCAGCTGGTAGATAATCACGTCTTGGAGCACGAACATCACAGTATAGTGTTATAGCCAACCATACTGTATTATAAACTTCAAAGTTGCTAGGAAACTAGATCTTAATTATTCTTATCACACACAAAAAAGATAATTATGTGACCTAGAGAGGTGTTAGCTGATACTACCACAGCCATCCACTTGCAATATATTAATGTATTAAATCACCATATGCACACCTTGAATTTACACAATATTACATGTCAATTATAGTTCATTTTTTAAAAAGTGTGCTTATATTAGTGGAGGTGAGTTTTTGCCTGCATTAAAAAAACCTGCCAGAATTGGAAGCAAAACAACAAAACCACTGACATTTTCCTAGTAATTACTTTGTGGCAGGAACTGTTCTCATAAGCTTTAGTTTCTCCATCCTTAGAGGTTTTCAAGACTAGGACAAACCATCAGAAGGAGACAGCAGTGGTCATTTCAGCTCTCTAAGAACACAGGATTTAGAACAAAAATCACTTCTTGTG